GGATAGGGGGCTCGGGTGGAGGAACAGGAGGAGGCGGAGCCACCGGCTGCCGATCCAGACGCAGGTCCTTGTTCTCCTGGCTGAGTCGGTCCAGCTGCACCTCCAGCTCCTCGATTCTGCGCCGCTGCGTCTCCAGAAGCTTCTGCTGGCTTTCGATGATGTTGTTCAGCTCCAGGAGGTACTCCACGGCCCGGTTGGGGCTTTCAGGACTGCCTTGGCCTGGGCCCGGGTTAGCATCCATGGCTAACTAATCTAAAGGTTAGCACGCAGGCTAACGGCAGAGAACTTCAGGCTAAAGATTACAGAAGTTTAACTAAAACAGAATTTAACTAAGTAGCCAAAATGTCGCTGCTTTCACAGTTGTTGGATCCAGGTGTTCTGACCACCTGCCTGAGTCACAGCYGCTGGAACAGCCGAAGGCTAGCTTGCTGCGTCAGGAAACACCGAGCCGATAGAGCGGAACAGAGCAGCTCTACTCTAAAAACTAAACCCTACGGTCTAAAAACTACACCACAAAACCCTGAGTCCTACACCTTCAAACAGGAAGTGCCTTCACCCTCCCCCCCACCAGAGGTAAGKGGGGGGGGGGGGCTTTCTCTTCTTTGAGGTCTGATACAAAAATCAAGATGGATCTGTTCCTCGTATGCTGCAGTCAGGAAGTGTTACAGAGCCGAGGATCATCCCGAGTGGGTCAGGTCTTCCTGTGGGACCTCAGACCCATCAGTTTAGAAACCAGAACCTCGGGAACAGGAAGCGTGTCGCTGCTCTCGTTGGGTTTTTACGCTGCCGTCGCTCAGTAAATCAGCCGCATCGTCTCTCCGCCCTCCATTCAGAGCAGAACCTTCCGGCAGGCGGGGGCGGGGTCCGGACCCGGCAGAGGACGCTTCGGTCCGCCTGCTTCAGAAACGGCGCCGCCCCGTGTCATGGCGCAGTCGGTGGCGAGTTGGTTAATCCCCCGCCTCCCTGCGAAGCCTCATGGTATAATCCCAGGATGAGAAGCTTGGCTGTTCTGAGCTCACTTAGATCAGTTCCTCCATCGTTCAAAGGAGACGAGACAAAAGACAAACGTAGCGGCGCTGGACGGAGAAATCACCTCCGGGCGAACCTGGGGGAGCGGTGGGTCATGGTGCGCTCGTTGACCTGCCACGTCCAGAGGTCCAGATTCAGCTCAGAGACTCCACTGCTTCGTGGAAACGATGAGGCGTTTGAGGATCCTCCGTCCTTTAGATGAAGCTTCAGTTACATCTGAAGAAAAACAAAACAAGAGACGAGATAAGAAGCCGAGTCAGCAGGAAACGTCACCCACTACAAACACCTGTTTCTGTTCTTTTAACTCTCCTCACTGATCTTTTCTTCCATCTGTTGTTTCTCCTCTTCATCCCTCTGTTCTCTCTCAGATCAAACGCTGCGTCTCAACCATCAGCGTGTCCTCCTACACTCCATCACGTCCACCTCTCCTGCTTCTTTTTCTTTTCTTCTTCACTCATTCAAACCTCCTTTTCTTCCACTTGGTCCTGTTTCTGTGTAAATTAAAGGTTCTGCGTCCCTGCTGACGTTCCACCGACCTACAATATACGAGCGGCAAAAAGCAACACGCTGAGTCAGCACAAACTGATTTAATATAATACAGCAAAGCAAATCAATTATCTTCCATTTATTACCTGATAAAAGCATATTTCACCAACATAACGTCTCATGATTTCACTTTAATAAACACCTGCTTTTTGATTATTAAACAGAAATGAAAGCCTGCCAGCAGCAGATGTGCTGAACACTGTTTAAATAAAGCAGCTGCAGATTACATTTTCTCTTTTATGAGTAATAAAACATAAGTTGATATTTCACAGAAGGGTTCTTTTTAATTGACTATAAAAGGCTGTTACTTCAGAACCACTCAGGATGACCTGAGGTAACAATGTAGCTAAAAATATAACAGAAATATGAAAACGTTAGTTCGTCCTGATGGGTCAGACTTTAAGAGTTAAATGTTTTAAAGAGTTAAACAATTTAAAGAGTTAAACAATTTATAGACTTAAACGTTTGAAAATTTTTAACGCTTGAAAGAGTTAAACAATTAAAGAGTTAAATGTTTTGAAGAGTTAAACGTTTTAAAGAGTTAAACAATTTAAAGAGTTAAACAATTTATAGACTTAAACGTTTGA